GTTTTAATTCTGATGTTTCTGGTAATTATTTTGTTTTAAAATGTTTTGTAAATGTTAATTTGAAGAAAGTTCATTTAGTTGTTTTTGAAAGATCCAGCCTTGTACTGGTGATTTGTGTAGGTAAGCTTAAAGACAATTAGAAAAACTTATTAGACCGTTTTAATCATTATTTTTACTATTGGGTGCGAATAACTGAATCGGTTCATTAGTAATTCACATTTTGTTAATAACTTCTGCTCGATGTGGACGTGAATAGGGTTTTAGTTCATAGCGATATCTTTTCTATCATCGTTTAAATTAGCGATTTCGTTAAATTCTCTTATAATTTCTGTTGATTGTGTGTCTAAACAGAAAAAATGCTCGGTAAGAGCGAAGTGCAAACTCCGCGACAGAAACTTCTCTGAAATAGGATGTTTGTGACATTGGAATAAGCTTCCTGTTTCTGTCGAACTTGAAGAGATAAATAAGCTCTAAAGAACGCGTCTTAAGTCGTTGATGAACTCAAACGCATCAAAGTAATTGAGTTTGTCGTGGTGTGTTCGTGACCAGGCCCGAGTTTTGCTATCTAAATTGTCGAGGTTTATTTTCACTTGACATTCGGAAGGTGAAATTTGCCTCTTTGACCAAATTATTTATATCTGTGCATGGTTCTTTGCTTTGTATTTGGACCGCAAAAACACTGCCGTAGTGCACTACCTTTAGTATCCGGGTACTAAAGGCAGTGCACTACGGTAATTGTTTAGTTCATAACAAGTTAAGACTCAAATAAAATGGTAAAATGGTAAAATGATAAAATGATATCTATAAAATAGCACCTGATTCGTGAATACGCGTATTTTTATTTTGTAAACGCGTAAATAATCGAACTAGATTTTTGACAAACAAACATGGAATTCAACCAACAGCTCAATGCTAGCTGCAACAGCGTCAATGATTATAATAGTGCCTTTGCTTGTTCAGATAACGAAACATTCTCCTTTCCTGCCTTGGTCGAATTGCTCGACGAGTCTTTAAATAATATAACCCAGACTGAAGAAATAAGAAAACGTTTTTCCGAGTTTAGTCAAGTTAAAATCAAAGGTATAATCGCTTCAAAAACTTTATATATGCAATAGCTGGTGGTTATCTTTATTAATGAACATATCCAAAATAAAGTTCCGAAAATACATGAAATACTGCTGTTGTCCAATAATTCTTTACCCGCTTAAATATTTCGTAGAACTTACTCGAAAACTAAAAACTGCTCAAATTAAAGCTGAACGGCCACCAGAATCTTCTGAAGAAGCGCATCATAAAGAATTGGATAAGTTAGAGACTCATAATCATAATATAAGAAAAAATATAAATAAACTGGAGGGTGAAGTCAGATATCCTCTTATTGTTGTTTTCGTTGTTTTTAGTGTTATTAAGGCTTTGCTGATTGTGTGACAGTATTATTTCTCAACAAATAAATATTTCTACTTCTCTCGAGTCACGCGTTAATCAGATAATGAATGACACCGAAAAATTACGCAATTACAATGTAGAAGAGGAATCTATTCCACCAACAGATATTACCTCGTAAGTGCTTAAATTGCTCTTTCCCATACTTTGAATCGACTTATTGAAAAGCTTTAATTTATTTCATTCAGTATGTTGCTCTATATTTATCGTAATCTCGGCATCGAACTTATTGAACAAGGAAATTGTTTGAAGGCTCGAGTCCGTGGGTTTTATTTTTTAATGGCGGTGATCTTTATTTGTTGTTACCAAGGTTAAGGCTTAATCATGCTTTGATTCCACACAGAATCTCCTACCAAAAATGATATATACACAGTGATGATTGACGATAAACTTTCAGAGCATTTTGTCGCGAATCATCTTTGGGAGCTGGCCGAGTGAAAGAATCACAAATATTGTGTTCGAAGTTCGAATCTATATAATATTCAGAGAATTTTTCACGCACAATTTAAACTTTACATTATTAAATCAAGCACAAAATACATGAATTGTGGTGTTATTTTTAACACACATCTGGGTTTATTTATTTTCGTGATTAATCAAGTTTTTATCGGTGATTCTCATTTTTTCTATTAGTAATTGGGAAACCATCTTTCGAGAAAATGCATGGATATATTTTTTTTATAAATCACAAATATAGATGGATTTTTTCACTATTATTGCTCAAGTTTTCCGATTAGCTTTGAAATAATTGATGAGACCATTTGTGCTGGCGTCGTGCGAAGTAACTGGCGCGGCATCATGACTTTGAAGCTCAGGTAGGATATTTTTGGCTAAAACTTTACCAAGTTCAACCCCTTATTAATGCAAAAAAATACATTTAGTATATGAATTCATAGTGTATTAATATTTTTTTTTATAATTAACATACCCCATTGATCGAATGAGTTGATATCCCAAATGATTCCCTGCACAAAGATCTTATGTTCGTATAAAGCGATCAAAGCACCCAAGGTGGCTGGCGTCAATTTTTGGATCAGAATACTGTTTGTGGGATGATTACCAAGGAAAACTTTATGCGGGATGATCGATTCCTTGTTCGTCACATCGCCCAATTCCGCAATAACAGTTTCTTTTGATTTCCCGATCATAAGAGCTTCAGTCTGTGCGAAAAAGTTTGACAAAAGAATTTCGTGGTGTTTCCCATTAGCAATAGGATTGTGTGTCTCGATTGGGGCCAAAAAGTCTGCCGGTACAATCTTTGTGCCTTGATGAAGTAATTGGTAAAAGGCGTGTTGACCATTGGTGCCAGGTTCACCCCAAATAATTGGTCCTGTTTGATAAGTGACTGTTAGACCAGAGCGCGTTACATATTTGCCATTCGATTCCATATCACCCTAAGAACGGAAACTATTAATTTTGAATCATATTTCATCAATAAAATAGAATCATCAATGAAAGAAAAGAAAGACACGACACCTGTTGAAAATAAGCAGGGAAACGATGCAAGTATTGATCATAAGGAAGAATAGTTTGTGTTTGTGCTCCAAAGAAATTGTTATACCAGATACCAATTACCGCGAGAATCACCGGAAGGTTTTGATCCAAAGGTGCTGTCTTGAAATGTTGGTCAAGTTCGTGAGCTCCAGAAAGAAGTTGATGAAAATTATCGAATCCAACATAGATTGCAATAGAGAGACCAATCGCGGACCAAAGAGAATATCGTCCTCCAACCCAATCCCAAAATTGGAACATATTCTTTGGATCAATACCAAATTTGGTCACCGCTTCGGTATTAGTCGATATCGCGATGAAATGCTTTGCAACATGAGCTTCCTAAAAAAATAATTCCAATTATTATATTCAAACTCAATTTGTAAAAAGATAAAAATGGCTTATTATTTTACATCTTGTGCAGTCGCCAAAAACCACTCTTTTGCTGATGTTGCATTTGTGATCGTCTCTTGAGTCGTGAAGGTTTTCGAGGCGATAATAAAGATTGTAGTCTCTGGATGGACTTTTTTCAGTGTCTCTGCCAAATGCGTGCCATCAATATTCGAAACAAAATGCACATTCAAGCTTGGTTGTGCGTATGGCTTCAACGCCTCGGTAACCATCACTGGACCTAAATCTGATCCACCAATGCCAATATTAACAATATCAGTAATTTGCTTTCCGGTGTATCCTTTCCAAGTGCCATCACGAATTTCTTGCGACGCTTTTTTCATTTGCTCCAACACCTTATTGACTTCTGGCATCACATCATTGCCATTGTCATAGATTGGAGTATTTGACACGTTACGTAACGCAACGTGTAATACCGCACGATCTTCGGTGAAGTTAATATGTTCACCAGCAAACATTTTATCACGAAAACTCGTAACATGTGCTTCGTTTGCCAAGTCAATCAAAGCTGCAAATGTATCGTGTGTAATGTGATTCTTAGAAAAATCGAGAAGGATAGACGCGTCTGTTTTAGTTCCTTTGAATTGCCGTGAAAATGCTTCGAATCGGCCTGGATCAGCAGCAAATAATTCTTTGATGATTAGGTTTTTTCCTTCGGCGTCATAGTGCCGTTGAAGGGTTTGCCAGGGATTAAGTTCATTAGCGAGAACCATTTCAGCGCGTTAGAAAACGGTTTGGATGAAATAGAAAATAAAGAGGTTTAGAGAAAACCTTGCGTTTATACACCAATAGTTCGTTGAATTCATTGATGAACCTCAATGAAAGAAATTTGATACGTGGGAAAATCTATAAACTTTATTTTGAAGCGATAATCAAATCACCAGATTTCCTTCGGGCTATTTTAATCCCGAATTTCTTACTAAGAGATTTAATTTATATTGATGCGATGCAATTTATATTGATACAATGCACGACATCTATAATGCAAAGGATCTGTAGATTAAAAAAAAATCAAATTAAGGATAAACTCGTTTTTCTCCAATGCCTGCAGTTAGCACTTCAACACCATCTTCCGTTACTAATAAAGTGTGCTCAAATTGTGCGCTTCTTTTTCCGTCTGCAGTGACCGCAGTCCAATTATCTGGCCAGGTTCTATCATTGAACGTGCCTTAGAAAGGTATATGTATATAAATCACAGGATTGTTAGCATCGAGATAAAAGTAAAAACAAATAAGCTGATTTGATTCATAAACACCTAGATTTATCATTGGTTCTATTGTAAAGACATGTCCTGGTTTCATCAGCCCTATTGCCTTGTTTTCTGAAAGTGAATAATTTTCAATTAGACGAGCGAGTATTCGGACGTAACACACATTTTTGAATAACATAAAGAATAAATTTACTTGAATAATGTGGAACCGTGGGAACACAGTGGAATAACCTAATAAAAATTAAATTATTAATTGTATAAGATAAAATTAATCTTAAAAATCAACACAGTATTATTACCTGTGAACCCCATGCCCGCAGTAAGTACGCACAACCGAACAATTATTACTCTTTGCGGTCTTTTCTATTACGTTACCCAGTTCACGATATAGGAAACCAGGCTTAACTAGAAAAGTATTTTTGATTAAATTTCGTAGTCAGAAGAAAAGATATGAAGAAGCAAAAACACAAATATGCATACCACACTCGATAGCTTTAAGTAAACACTGTTTAGAAGTGTCGATCAGTCGTTGGCTATCATTATCAATTGTTCCAACCGGATAAGTTTCATTAAGATCTCCGTGGAATTCATCATGGTATAATGTCACATCAATATTTATAATATCACCGTCTTGGAGTTCCCGACGATCAGGTATACCATGGCATATTACTGAGAAAAAATATATAGATTAATGAGAGAATGTAATGATTGGCATGATCCCCTTTGTTGCGTTTTTTTTTACCTTCATTCACTGATCTGTGAACATGTTGAGAAAATCAATAATAAATTCGAAGTAAAGGAATCAAAATTATAAAATTGAATTTAACTTACGTGCATACGGACTTGGGAAATTTATAATAATTTAGAGGAGATGGATATGAATTTCTTTCTATGATGGCTTCGTGAACAATTCTATCAATTTCATCAGTCGTGACTCCCGGTTTCACCGCTGCAGCACCAATGTCTAACACTTCTCGTGCAAGCTATAACAAAAAAATTATTATAAGCATTCGCCTAATCTCACATAAGCAATAACGAAAAAATCAGATAGAAACCTTGCAAACAGTACGCATTTTTTTGATATCTTCTGCATCCAAACTGACAATCGCTGCATGTTTACCTTTGATTTCCGATATAGGTTGCCCTTTTAGTTGTAAAAAGGATTATTATGAATATACTTTAGACACTTTACTTCACGAAATCATGTAATTTCAATCCAACCTTCAAGATCATCAGCATAATCAGGTTTCTTTATGTGTGGAGGGACATGCCGTGTAGGGGATAAAGGATATAAGGCACGAAGTGACCCAGTGTATGGAAATGTTGGAACATATGGTGTTTCTACTTGTCAATTTTTTAAAACCACCAGTAGCGAGTTCAGTGTTGAAAAAATATGGCGTCATCAAAGGATCGCACGCAGGCATTCGATAAATACCATTCTTATCGACCGAGGAGGTAAACTGGTGCACAACCTTGTGGATAGACTGTTACCAGATAGAATACTAATAAATTATGGTGATAGTCTCTTATGAAACGAGAAAAAAAACACTGGCAACCATTTTCTTCAAACTGACCCAATTCTTTTTAAAACATTCTTGCGAACAAAAGAACGACCCAGGGATTTTTAATTTCAGACATGTTGGACACTGCAATTTGGCAGGGTTAGTACAATTTTGACTTTGACAAAGTCGTTCGTTGTTCATTACGAGATTTCACAAGTACCCTACTATGCAATTTCGGAGTATTAGTTTCCAATAAATCATGTGTAGATAAGATAATAAATCAGATCAAGTGGCCCGATCTAGAAATTTAGAAATTATAATCTATTATTATATTATTATTTTATACATTTATATTTATTTATTTATTTATATATATTATTATTATTATTATTATTATTATTATTATTATTATTATCATCTATTACGTACATATAAAAAAGAGTGACTATAAGAATCGATAATCCCTACATTCTCATTGGCATTATTATTGTTGTTACTACTATTATTAATATATAAGTGTATTATTCTCATCGATATTAGTGATAGTACCAGCAGAGGTAGTATCAGCAGTAGATCTCAAACGAAAAAGATTATAATAAATCAATAAAAATAACGCAAAAATACAAATCACCAAATACCATAAATATCTTTTGTGTCTGATTGAAGTCATATTACGCATTCGACCTATTGTGCCTGTTAATGTGCCTTTTAATGATGTGTATGAGGAGCTCTGTTAAACAAATGAGACGAAATATTGATTGATTCGTCAATGGTGAATAAATGAACGAACAATTTTGATCACTTACAGTTTCGTCAATTACGTTTACTTGATTATTTACTTCATCGTAGATTTCGACATTAATCTGATTATTTTCAATGTTGTTAAAATAAATAACCTAAAACGCTTCATTCTTTATGACCAAATTTGATAAATCTCACGCACTTTATGCAAGACGGATAATTTAGAAGAAAGTTCCTCTAAGCTATAGTCATTCTGCTGTTCATATGTTCTTGCCGTCAACGCTTCAATTTCTCGTTGTGATATAGGGGAAGATGATTGATTGTCATTTTTGAAACGAGCCCCTTCATCATTACTATTACCGGTATTGCTACTTGCTCCATTGAAGAGTAATTTCTCTCGATCTGTGTTCTGAGTGGACCTTCTCAAGGAAAATTACAAAAATCATATTATAAAAAAAGGGAACAATGCAAGAATAATCAATGAAACCGAAAGAACTGACCACATTGTAAAGGTTCGAAAGATAATAATGAAACATTTACATAACCACGCGCAACTTTATGTATAATAAATTAAACTTTTGATTGGTTGAGGTTAGGTATCACCACGAATATAAGTAAGCACGTGTGGATCATTGTTATTGGTAAACAAACGTTTGTAAGTTTATCTTATTTCTGCTTTTTAGAAAATGCTTCAATTTTTGCGAAAATGGTCAATACAGGAAAACCCACTTCCTCCAAAAAGAAAGCGGGTACAAACGTGTCTGTCGTGTCTAAATCCTCGAAATCCTCTGCTGCTGCTTCTGCATCTGCCTCTGCTACCACAAAATCAACAGCTTCGTCAAACTTAGCTGGAAATAGTGGCTCAAGCTCCAAAAATGGAGCTGCACCAATCAAAATTAGGATACCACCGCCAAAAAAACAAACCACATCAAGTACCACTCCCAGTCTTAGTTTGGCATCGTCTTCTACTAATACTTCCACAGCATTGTCTGTAAATGCTAAATCTAAGGCTTCAGCACCACCTGGACCCTCCTCAGCAGTTTCACATGTGGCGGGTGAAAACGTAAAACATGAAACTGAGGAGTCCGAAGAAGAAACAGCTGAACCCCCAAGAGAAGAACATTTTATATTAAGGATATCTGGTCTTCCTCAAGAGTCACAAGAAAAATTCAGAGAGCAAGCAAGAAAGCGACATGTGTTTGATGACTTGTCAATTTTATTTAAAGGTAAAAATATTGAATTGAACAAAAAAAATATATTCTCAAAAAATTCTTGCAAAAATTGAACCCTTGTATAATAACTGATTGACGATTGGATAATTCTGTTACGAAAAGGATATAATAAACAATAAACAAACAAATTCACACAATTTGAATAGCTTTTAACGAATATTATCTTGAATTAATTAACTAAATCGTAAATGCTCAACAATTATTCGCTAATTATCAAGTATGCTTTTAACTTTAGATCCTCGTCATGCAATATTCTCATATGATAAAGAAAAGTACAGTGCAAGACTGGTGGATCTTCCATGTATTATTGAATCTCAAAAGACGCTGAATAATAAACAATTCTATAAAATCGCTGATATTTCACAGGTTTATTTCATCATTTTTAATCTCAATCGATTGACAACAACATTCTATCAATTCAGAAAAAAACTCATTCTTTATATTAATTTCTAAAACTCACAAAAGATGTTGGTAGTAGAATCTTCCATCTCCAATGAATCTGAATTGAACACCAATAAAGCTAGTATGCAATGGGATGAATTTCTATGGCAAGATGGATTATCACCTCCATTAAAAAGTGTTCGAAAGCGAAGATTCCGAAAAAGATTTTCGAATAGAGTAAGAAATCGGCATTTTTTCTAATATTTTGGAAATTCAATTATATTAAATGAAATGTTATGTTTAAAATAGAACATTGAAGAGATTGACAATGAGGTCGAGAGACTCCTAACATTGGCTAAAGCGGCTACAAGCATTCGTTATGGTAAAAATATTATGCGCAATTATACTAATTATATTTAATTATTGATTCAAAATAATTAATGACCATTCTATTCCTCACATTTACAGAGTTGACTGAAATTGAAGATTCCGAGGTTGAAACACCTGGTCCTGATGGAGAGGATCGGATAGACGGTGAATTCGAAGGACTGGAAATTGGGGACGAAATTGACTCTGATGGAGAAGAGGCAGGCGCAGCCTTGCAACGTGAATTAGAAATGATGGACGTTGAAGATGAGCGTGCCGTTGCATCTGATAATGAACCCGAGGAGGAGGAAGAAGAGGAAGATGATGAAAGTGATGAAGACAGTGATGAGTCTTCAGAAAGTGGTATGATTTGTATACTTTATATTAAGTATATAAATTTTTGATTATTTAAATTAAAAAATTCTCATCCTTGATATTTATTCATTCATGATAAATAGAAGAGGAAACTGAAGAAGATTTAGAACAAAAGAGAAAAGAGTTGGAGGATCAGATAGCGACAAATGAATCAGCAATTCAAGGAAAGCATAATCAATTGGCAAACACAGTTAACACAATCATCAAGGTATATTTATTATTGATTTCGTATTTTTTTTTCACTTGTATTTTATTCAAGCGATTATTCGTCATTTGCAGAAACGATTCGAAGAAACGATAGAAAAATTAACAGCCGATATAGAACTGAAAAAGATTCAATTAGATGAGGTTAAACGTAAATTAGAGGCCAAAAGAGCATCAACGTCAATATCGTCGTCGTCTTTAACTGAGGAACAGCAAAATTACGATGAAGAGGAAGAGTACGAGGAAGGTGATTCTATGGTTGGTAGTGTTACTCCAATTTAATTAATAAGTATTTTTGTAAATATTACTATTATTAAGCTTCACATATCAGAAGTGCGACCTTTTTTCTCTTTAGAATGAAATATTTAGTGGTAAGGAGTAAAAAATGAGGGTAGATTTCTTTATTATATAAGCATACTATATACTATATATACTTGAGCTTGAGTCCAGCTTTAATGATTGAACAATAATTATCAACCTAGTTTATTATTCTTGCAATAATTCGTAATAATAATTATTACCTGATTCTTGCTTATTAACCAAATTGAAACACACGATTTGCATACATAATATGACTCTAGCCAGTCCTAGCACTAGTAGGTGCCAATGGCAATAGTGCGGCAGCTACTCGTCTTCCTTCTTCAGACAAGAATCGAAAGTTTGCTACAGCACTACTCTATAATTATCAAAAAAGAAATTATTTTTTCCGATAAGAATATCCAAGTCACACATGATCCAGTTTATCAATTCGGATCGAATCTGCTCTCGATTCAATCCGTTTTTGATCCCTATATACTTACTGTACTCATCATGTCAAGTTGCATCCCTAATCTGTGTACATAATCACGAAGTGATTGCGGAAGTGGTAAAAGTGTTTTTCCAGTTCCAAAGATTATCATTTCAGGTTTTGGCACAATCACTTCGAAGATTTTCAAGCATTCTGGCGTCCAATTTTCGAAAGGTAAAGAGTAGTTGTATTCTTTGCCCTGAGGCACATCCCATAAAAATGCATACCCATTCAATAGTAGAACAGGTCCACGTAAATATACGTTATCTGTGGTTACGAATCCATCCTTTTTTATTGCTTTGATCAGGGTTGTGGTTCTTATGGCGGAATCGTCAAACATGTTACGAAAAGCTGAAGCCAAAGGTGTTGGTACTATAGTATCTGATTTAGGTGGAGTTTCGAAAGATGATTCTTCATTTCCTATATCCTTTTTCTCGTCTCGGTTTAACAGTTGCGAATTGTGAAGGAACCGAGGAGAGAATATAGAAGTAAGGGAAATTAAATGATTTTTTGAGTGAGGCATTAAAAGTCGTTGAAACATTATTTTATAAAGAAATCAAATGAGTCATCGTGATTTACTTATGCAAATGTAGATAATATAAGTGCACATTGTTTTATTGTTGCAACCAATAAGATTCTATCCTTAGAACATATTATGGATGAAGAGATCATAGCCAATTAGGATCTAAATCTTCTGGCGCGATTCCATTTTCTTCCATCGCCGGGTTTCCTCCGGAGGGAAGAATGTGTACTCCATTTGGCATTTGAACGATTTTGCTACTTCCAAAGATTTGCTCGGCTTCTCGTTGTAACGCCTCCGAGTCATCGAGATCGTCGTTAATCGCGCAAATCTCATCGTCGGATTGTAATTTTCTAGAAATAAGCTCGAAAACTTGATCAATTATAGCATCAAGTACAAATTCATATAATTGACATCCTATACAGAAAAGAAATTAGTGATATACATTACAAAAAAATGAAAATGTTGAATAGTTATGATCATTTTTAAAATACCTGAAGAGTAGTTAACACAACCAAATCTAGGATCGATAATTTCTGTGAGTAACGGTTCATCAGCAACAACCCAATTCCGACAATGCTAAAAAACATGAGACTATTTCCTAAATGTGCAGATATGACCTAATAGGCGAGAGAATGCTTTCCGTATTTACATACCTCTCTAATCCAAATCTTGATCGAATCTTTCCTGACATAATCGATTGAATGCGTTGTCGCAGCAAATTCAATTGCCCTTACCCTATGTCGAAGTTCGTCAACTATGATAAAAATTTTGGTGAGGAAATTCTACGAATAAAAATCATCTAATATGTCGACAGCACCACCTACATTTTTTTTGCAACAGATCAACGGCACAATAACCACCATAACTATTTGCAATAATAAAAATCTTTTTCGCTGCTGAAGGTCTAAATATTTCTTCAATAAATGCATACCCATATCTCAAATGACACTATACCAGAAAGTAATCCAACTTACTTTATGAAATGTTTAAAGACATATTCTAAATGTGCCTCTGGCGATTCATTTTCTTCATGTTTAATATGTTTAATAATAATAATAATAATAATAATAACAACAATACAAAGAGCGTGCATAATATTTAGCATTCGAGTAAAGATTAACAAAAGAATCCTTTTGATCTCTTACCTGGTATAGGGTCAAATGGAACTGTGGCCTTAGGGAGAGTCACCTAAACAATAGAGATCAAACAAAATCAATTAATATTGAAATAAATTCAATAGATAATAATAATTATCACTTGTGCTTACCACAGCTTTACCTTTATACCAATAAATTTCATTAGGATTTGTGATGAGAACAGAACATCCAAGACTCCTTGCTCGTTTTGTATATGTCACCATTCCACCATCCTACAAGAATTCTTCATTAAGAAATATTTAAACTAACAATAAGGATAACAAAAAAATTAATAAGTAAACACACATTGATTGATTTCTCTGTTAACATTCGACGAGACCAAAGACCGGATCTTTAAAACGAACATTTGTTAGCAAGAATAATCAATTGCACACGTTCACAAAAAAATAATTTGATTTACGCGTGAAATGTGCCTGGGATGAAAATGCACATATTTTCGTTCGTCAGATAATCGGGACTAAAGATCAAATGGCAAAGTAATATATAAGTATTTACGCGACAGAATAATTTTCCCTAATATGATAATTATTTTAAGTGATTTGACAAACCTTAGAAATATATGTGTATGAATATCATTCTCAGTCATGCCGATAGGAAGTATAGTTTTAATTAAGCCACACCGACTTTGCAGAGCCTCACGAACGTATCCACCAAGTGTCTCTAATAATAGAATTTAAATGGAAAATAGAAATGTTAGAAATTCCCAGCGATTAACTACGAAAAACCGTACCAACCTATAATAACGTCATATAACGCTTCGTTATATTGCCTGTCCGATTTTTCAAAGACGTATGGTTGACCTAAACAAATACATAATATTGTTGTAAGCAAAGAAATATATATACACTTCGTTTTTTTAACCACAACCCTCAATGAAAATTAAAAGACGAGAGCGACATACCATCTAAAGTCACCAGTTTTTCATTCTCGTCAAGTTTATAACCAAGCTCATGAAGATCGTTGGGCAAAATTAGTTTTTCTTTCTTAGCGGGCTTCTTTTTCTTGAACATCTTTGTTCCAAAGTGAATGCGCCCTGATCTAAAATTTAAATATTTTTCATCGACCAATAGCAAAATTATCGATAAAGAATTAACTTGGTCAAATCGATCAATAGTTTTTGATATGCAACAACAGCAACAAAAAAGTCGCCGCGCCAAAGATTTATTACGAAATTATTATGGATTGGCTGATGTTGAGAAAAAGCAAGTTAATCCACTAGACATTGACAGCAATTCCTTCGAACCAGAAAAATATTTCAATAAATTAGTGACGGAAAAGCAGCTTTCTGAATTGATACAGCAAGACAATGATTTAATTACGGAAATTCGTCAACTGAATGGTGATATGGAAACTCTGGTTTACGAGAATTATAATAAATTTATTAGTGCGACCGATACTATTCAAAAGATGCGTAGTAATGTTGAAGCGATGGAGTCGGAGATGGACCAACTAACTAAAAATGTGTCAAACATGTCAAATATTTCTCGAGAAGTTGAGTCTGCTCTTGGACCAAAACGAGATAAAAGTAGAAAACTCGCAGAAGTTCATGAATCATTAACAAATAGATGATGAATTAAACAAACTAAAAAACTATAGTAGATCGGAGACTCGATTTTTGGTGAATAGAAACTTGGCTAATTAGATTTTATTTACATATTACTTTTATTGTGATGAATTTACTGTATAATTATTAAGTTAAAGTTTCCGTTTTAATTTGAGTGGTTGAGGTGGTTTTTGCTTTGACGAGCAGTTTTTTCTTTGCATCCAGATCGTTCTCTAACTTTTCCACGTGACGTTTTAATTCTAACATATTTACAATGCCTTTTTGAAGTTCTGCCCATTTTGCACAAACTGTTTCAGTAGCCATGTTGGGGCGTGTGTCTAATAAAGAAGAAATAACTGGATAAAGAAATTGATCGATAACTAGCTGATTAACTATGAATCTTGGATAAATATACTTACTCAGATGACATTCGGCTAAATATTTTGTAACCTTATTTATTGCGCTTTGTTTAACTGGTGGGATTTTTTGGCTTCGAACAACAACACCAGGTGGCAATTTTTCACGCCGAGGTGTATTGGGTGGATATGCATCGGTAGGTGAATGAACTAAAGAAAATAAAATGCATGAGGAATTATTGAGAACTAAGGTATCACATTAATCTGAATATGTTTCCTACCCTCAATTGATGATGTTCCGACGGAAGATGATGAAGAGCGTCGCATTTTTTTGTTAGGAGGTGATTCGGCTGAATTCGCAAAGAATGCTCCGCTTGTATCGGCAGTTGGAGTTGAAGGACCACCATTGAGCAAAGACTTCTTTCGTTTCGGAGGCTAGTAATAATAATAATAGTGATATATTAACATGATGATATTTGTAATTTACAATAAAAGGGAATCAAAATTTGGTTTATTACCGATGGATTTATATCTTGGAAATTTAACATTTTCAATAGATTTTCGCGTTCTTTTGAAAATTTCTTTTCGTTTTGTTCTATTCGTTCATACTCTTGCAGCAAGACTTCCTCCTCCTACATAAATCATTGTGAATTTATAATAAAGCTTTTATGCCAGGCAAATATAATATTTTAAATAAAATACCTTGATCTGGTCAGGGTTTCTTGTAAACAAATATTGTAAATTATTTTTCCTTTCAATTTCTCTTGCTGTGTAATTGACATCACAAAATTAATATAAATTACTCGTTTATGCTATGGATAAATAGTAGAATGTGAAGTTTCGTGAATAAATACCTTTATCAAAATTGTACATAGAAGCGATATTATCTTTAGATCCGACGCCTGAACCAGCTCTAGAAGTATTAACTTCTCTCATTACAAAATAATAGCGTTCTTTGAGATCCTGATATTGAATACAGTAAATTACATGAATATAACAAAGAATCTGCCGTACAAAAAAATTCATGTGCTCAGAGTATTTATGTTAAATACCTCCATTGTCCTTCGCTTATCAGGCCACTCATATCTATCTGAAATAACAAGAAATCTCAAATCATAATTTCTACATAGTTCGAATAGATAATCTGTTTCAGCTTTTGTCCAATCTGGGTCTACATAAGATTATGAAAATGTGAATTCAATTTTGGCTTGATAACAGTTATATCAAAAGGTAAAATAATTACTTACCACTATTAAGTAGATTATTATATTCTTGTTCAGTATAATCTAATATATTTATTACTTTATTGAATTCATTAAATCGATATGCTTTTAAAGTGAAAATTGCAAGAAAATCGAGTTAATGATGATTCACAGATAAAATTCGAATATACATGAAAAATCGTAGACCTTGATTCTCATCCTCACTCGCCTTCACCCAATGACGCAATTCAAGATCATCACCACGAGCTGGATTTTTGAATGCTCGATAATTCCTATATAGAGATAAGCCTCTCGTTAATATTTATATTGTTATAACTGTCATCATGTTTAATTACCAGGCAACTGCTTTCTTTCGTAGATTTGGTTTTGCTTTGAATGCTGGTTTTATGAAGGCGACTGGTGGTGGACCACCGATGAGTTGAAATAGCTCACGACTGATCCCATCTAAAATAATTACTGATATATTATTTTCATTTACGTGTATAAATACAAGAAAAAATCTAAAACAGAAATTGAAAATAAAGATGTCGCAGTGTTTCATGAAGCTCTTAAAATAAAATTTATGTTTTCTAGATCAATGTGAATTCATTTCAATCGTTTATAACACGAACCAGGTTTCTTTTCTTTTTCAATTCTCATGGGTTTTTTCACAGATCCTTCAGCACTGAGACCAGACAATCCAAGAATGTCACGTACGTCATTACTCATCATATTTTAGCACTTGATTTGAAGCGATTATTTATAGCTAATGCAATGTACTATCGAAATGAACGGCTATATCAATATAGTGTCTTTGTTTCTTGTTGTCGATCATCGTTAGTTTAATAATACATGTGAAGAATTACGAAATTTCGTAAATTTGATCACGTGATCGAGCACGTTTCAATTTATCTAACTATAAAGTTGGTTATACAAACTTTTTATAATTAAATTTGAATTTTAATTACAAAAAGTTTATACACACCCCTATAATAAATTACCGAAAATCCAAAAAAAAGCATAATGAAACATAGTAAGATTGAAATTATCTCTCTATAATGAAAATTAGTAAATATTTTTTATTTTTATATCAAATAAAGCTAACATATATTTTTTATAAATTTTTTAAATTTAATTTAAGAAATCTATGTTAAAATACAGATTCTTGGTTTTATTTTAATATAAAAAAAATATTTACTAATAAAAATAAAATTTTTATTATTATGTTTCACTAAGCTTTTTTTTGGATTTTTGATAATTTATTATAGGGGTATATATATCAATATTATTATTATTTTATATGATTTATACTTTTCAAATACAATAAAAAACAAAATTATATAATTATAAAAAGTATATAACTATAAAAAGATTTTTATTATATTTACATATAAATAAAAAAGCAAATCAAAATAATTATAAAGAGATATAACTATAAATTAGAGATATTTAATTATATATAATATATAAAATACATAATATTAAATTAAATAAGAGAGATAATATAAATAATTAAAATTATAAAGATGCTGATATATATTAATTAATATTATTTTGATAGAAATATCTTCTTTTTTACTTTCAAATAAAATTTTTTATTCAATCAAAATACTTAATTTTGTATTATCTAAAATCAAGCTTTATTTCTTTTTATTCTTTAAAATATTAATTAATAAATATTATTATTCTAAACAAGTAAATTAATATTATTTTTAAAGATAGATAATCTTCTTTTTAATAATAAATAAGTAAAAATATTAATAATTTTTTATTAATTTAAATAATTATAACTTTATAATTAAAATAAAACAAAAAGATTTGAATTAATATTTTTTTATAATATAAATCTAAAAAAGTTAAAAATACAAGTTAATTATATAACTAAAAAGCTTTTATTATTTATTTATATATTGTTAAAAAACAAGTTTTAGCTAAAATATTAATTAAAATTTTAAAATAACTTTTATTTATATTTTTTAGCTGAAACTTATTTTTTTAATAATATATAAATAAATAATAAAAGTTTTTTAGTTATATAATTAACTTATATTTTAACTTTTTTAGATTTATATTATAAAGAAAATATTAATTCAAATTTTTTTATTTATATTTAAAATATTCTAAAAAGATTATTTCAACTATAAAAAAATAATTATTTCTATTTAATTAAAATAAACTAAAATAATTTTGCAATTAAAATAAAAAATTATTAAATAAATAAAAATTCAAATTGAAATTTGAATAAAAATTTGAATTAAAATTCAAATAAAAATTTATACTAAAATTTTAAAAATAATTTAATATAATAATTCAATAAAAATATAAAAAATAATATAAAAATTATCAATTTATAATAAATTAAAACTTTTATTTCATTAAATATTTTAAATTTTAGTTTGTTTCAAATTTAAAAAATTATGTGAATATTTATTATATATAAAAATAATTTTTTAAACTATTCTAAAAAATATAACTATAATTTAAACTAATTTTAGTTATATTTTTAAACTAGTTTTAGTTATATTTCTAAACTATATTATTAGTTTTAGAATCTATCTTTAATTATATAAATATAATTTTATCAGTTATTATAATACAAATAACACAAAATTTTTTCTCCTAATTTATTATTGTAATAATATTTTAATATAATAATATCAAATTTCTTTCTTCAATCACATTATTATATTTAGTATTTACTATAATAAATAAATTTGTTTTATAATATTATATAGTAACTAATAGAATTATGAAATTATACATATAATTTTATTAATAAAATATAGTAAAATTGAAATTTTTATTTATATATAGTCAATATGGAAAGTAATAACAGTCATATTTTTCGCTGAAATTTATTAATATCTTAATAAGAAATTATTCAAATATCGTAAATATTTAACATTATATTTTTTAAGATGATAAAAACAAAATTTTTTAAGATCACAAAGTATATTAATATAGTAATATTTTGTGAAATTACATGTTAAAAATGATAAATCTAGGAGTTATTTTAGTTAAAAAATTATTTATAAATATTTTTTATAAGCAAGTATAAAAATAATTTTATAGAAATATATTTGTAATTTAAAAAATTTTTGTTAATATTTATTGAATAAATACTAATTAAAAAAAGATTTAATTTTGATAAATTTTATAATAAAATATAATAAAATTTATCAAAATTAAGTCTTTTTTAACTGGTATTTATTTAATAAATATCAACTAAAAATTTTTTTTAAATTACAAATATATTTTCTATATTTTTAAATATATTTTTATAAATTATTTTTATACTTGCTTATAAAAAATATTTTTAAATAATTTTTTATAACACTTTAACCAGAATAACCTCCAGTTCACCACTTTTAACATGTAATTTCACAAAATATTACTATATTAACACACTTTGTAATTTTAAAAAATTTTGTTTCTATTATTCTAAAGAATATAATACCAAATTTTTGTAAATTTCTTATTAATTTATAGGTGAAAAACATGTTTACTATTACTTTTTATATTGATTATATATATTAAAAATTATAATTTTACAAATTTATATTTCAAAAAAGAAATAATAATTTCTTTTAAAAATAATTATTTAATTTTAACTAATATTTATTTAAAAATATATTAATTAATAATTAATAAATAATAAATAATAAAATAAATAATATAATTTATAACAATTTAATTAAATTTAATTGATTAATTATAAGTTATATTTTATTTAAATTATTTATAATTAAATTTTATTTTATATTTAAAATTAAAAAAACAAAGTTTGCAATTAGAATTAATTTTATTAATAATAAATAGTAAAAATTAATATTTTCTCTTTATAATTTTTATTAAGAAATAATTTTTGTTTTTATATTAAAATAAAGTTTATAAATTATAATTAATATATATTTTTTTCAGAATTTTTCTAAAGAAGTTATTTTAATGACAAAATTTTTTCAATTAAAAATAAAATTTAATTAAAAAATTTTTTGCAATAACTTTGTCATTAAAATAATTTCTTTAGAAAAAAATATATATTAAATTATAACTTATAACTTTATTTTAATATAAAAACAAAAATTATTTTTAATAAAATTATAAACTTAATATAAAGAGAAAATCTCAATTTTTACTATGTTTTATTAATAAAATTAATTTCTAATCACAAACTTTTATTTAATAATTATATTATATTTAAATAAAATAGTTATTAAATAAAATTATATAAATATATTAAATAATTAAAAATTTTAATAATATATAATATAATAATTATTAATAAAATCATATTTATCTC